CCCCCCCCGCCCCTCCCACTGTCCTGTGCACAGAGAAATTATTTATATATATGTATAAATGTCTATTTAGTAACGGTTTCCCCGCTCCCCCTGGTCCCATTCCCCCCTCCATGGCCATAGCCCTCACCCCCTCCACCTTGTACATAATGTATAGGAAAAATCTATGTATGGTTGAGGGGGGTGGGGCCGCTTGAGAGAGCTGGGGGACCCACTGACCCCCAAGCACCCCCCCGTTACAGGCCAAGATCTTTGCTAAAGGCCATTCCCTCCCCAGGGCTTTCGGTGTCCAGTGGGAGGGGGAAAACGCATCTTGTTAATTATTTTTAATCTTATTTATTGTACATACCTGGGGCGGGGGCTGGGGAGGTGGAGGGGGGAGAGGGTCCCCTCCTTTTGCCCCTCCCACTCCTTTTCTACTGCGATGTGTCTGTGTCTCCCCCCAGCACACACCACCCCCCTCCCATTGTTGTCTGGATGTGGTTCTATTTTTTATCGGTCTCCCCTCCCCTCTTCCCTCTCTCTAACCCCTCCGCTCCCACCGCCCCTCCACCCGTTGTCTCTTGCTCTTTCTTGGGCTTCTGTACAACTCAACTTGTATACACTGTGTACACACAACCAGCCAAACGAAAACCCAACGGCAAACACTTGATGGTCCGGCTGGAGTGGCTCTGTCCCGCGGCGTCTGGGCGGCGGCCCCCGGGTGGCACGGGCAGAGGGTCCAGAATGGGAGTGTGGCTTTTCTGGAGCCCCGGGTGGTGGTTGCACCGGGCACCATGTATCTGCTATGTCTCGCTGTGTAACAAAGAGCCCCACCCCCAAATTTAGTGACTTAAAACAAGAAGCATCATTGTATGGTTTCTGAGGATCAGGGATCGGCGAGTGGGTTACCTGGGTGGTGCCGTCACTGGGGTGCCATCGGGTCATCAGCCAGCGGGCAGAGGTTCTGGGGGAGGGAGGAGGAACCGAGGGACAATACGCCTGAGCCATCTTATTCCCAGGGCAGAAGGTGGGACTCGGGGCGGCCGTCCTCAAGGATTTGGCGGGAGTTTCAGGAGCTACTTTTAAGGTGGCTCATTTGCATGGCTCTTGGCCTCGGGTCTTGCCACATGGACCTCGCCCACCCATAGGGCAGCTTGCGCGTCTTCACAGAGCAGGCAACCCAAGGGGAAGGGCAAAGAGGAAGCCATGAGGTTGGTTTTGTTTTTTTTACTGATTTCAAAGAGGAAGGGAGGGAGAGAGATAGAAACATCAATGATGAGAGAGAATCACTGATCGGCTGCCTCCTGCACGCCCCACACTGGGGATCGAGCCCGCAACTGAGGCTTATGCCCTGACCGGGAATCCAACTGACCTCCTGGTTCATAGGTTGACACTCAACCACTGAGCCACACCAGCAGGGCTGGATTTGCTATTTTATTTATCATCTCTGGGGGAGGGGAAGGACTGTCAAGAGAAAGACTGATTCTTCATCTACTAAATGTTAGGTTAACTGAGGAAAGTGAGGACATTTCACATTTTTTAACTTTTGAATTTAAACAGCTGGAAATTCACATCTATGGCCCCTTGAGTGTGGCTCTTCCTAAGCCTTAGGAGGACCCTGATTAAGTTAATAACAATGTACCTGCCTATATAGTTTAAGTTTAAAAAATGTGGCTCTCAAAAGAAATTTCAATCGTCGTACTTTTGATACTTGGCTCTGTTGACTAATGAGTTTGCCGACCACTGCTCTAGGCCATCGCCACTGTTATTGCTGGTTGTACAGAATGGCTAGAAACACTTGGGGGACATAATGGGAGTTCGTGATGGGCTATGGACTTTCTAGAATCATCTGAGTCAGTTAAGAGCATTGAGAATGGGCTCAACCCGTGGGATGCTGAGCGTGTAACCCCAGAGGGAGCGGTCCATTCAAGGCTCTGGATTGAATGGCTGCCAAATTGGGACCAAAGTCTCCAGGATCAGCGTTGTCCCAGAACAGAGCTCTGTCCTAGGAAGTGGATGGAGTGGTCAGAAGGTGGGTGGGCGCTGGGGTTAGAATAACCTTGTGGTTGGTTGGCCTTTGACATCCCATTGTTCCAACTGAATCCCAGCCCTCGCACTAGCTGGACAAGGTGGAGCATGGCCTCCCGTCCTCAGTTTTGTCATCTGTAAAATGGGCTTTCGGCGAGATGAAGAAAACCTGTGTGAAGCACCCGGCACTGCAAGCGCTTAGCCGCTGTTCCCCTTGGCAGGAGGCCTCAAGAGGTTTGTGGGAGGTCCGAGAGATGGCGAGAAGGATTGAGAGAGAGGCTGACAAAGGTGGACAAAGAACCCAGAGAGACAACCCCTGACGGGGCCCGCCAGAGCCCAGGGGAGGCAGGAACCCGAGAGGAGAGACTCACGGGCGCACACATGTGCCCGAGGGAGATGCCAACTAGGTCATCCCAGCCTCTGGCTGTTGTCGGATGAGCCTGGAATGGTGGTGGCTGCGAACCTTCCAAAAATGGCCTGCCAGCTGTCGTGTGGGTTTGTGTGTGCGCCTTGTTCTGGGGGCAAACGGGAGCTTCCGTCAGCTTCTCAAAGTGCATCTGGGTCCTCCCAGAGGCAGGGTGTCCCGGCCAAGGACTTGGCCCTGTTAGGCAGCGCGGCAAGAACTCCGACCTTGTGCTGGGGGCGTGCCTCACCCCCGGCTGGGACTTGGGTTGGGGTGTCGGGTCTTATCTGGAAACTGCTAGAACCATCCCCCCCACCACACCAGTCCCTTCCTGTCCCCCCAGAGGTGGGCCTCACTGAGCAGAGGTTCTGGGGGAGGGGGAACGAACTTGCGGGACAATACACCCGAGCCAGGCTTATTCCCAGGGCGGAAGGTGGAGCTCCTGCCAAAGATTCTGTGATAATGAAACCCGGAAAGGGATCGTCGGCTAATCGCTGTTCTGATCTGGAGCACAGAGGGACATTCATGGGGCTGGGCCGGCGCACACAGCACTGAGGGTGCCCCGGGCACCGTGCTCGTCGCCTGGGTGCCTCTTGCCCTGGGGAGTGGCTCTGTGGTCACCACATCGCAGTGTACCCCGACCGAGGTGGCGGAGCGGGGTTCGAACCCAGGCAGCCCGCTGCCAGGGCCCTGCAGGACCATCGCTACCCCAGGCCCAGGAAAAGCGGGTTCTGGGTGGGTGTGAGCGGAGCATTTCCGGCTGGGATTCTGTGGACACTGAGATGTGGACGGGGAGGGGCCGCAGGTCAGTGACTGGTGACAGCTCATCAGGTGGAGGTCAAAGTTCAGGCCTGGGGACATCGGGGGCGGGGTTCCGGCCTGGTGTGTTGAGTCAGTGTTGGGGTTCAAAGACGCCTGTCCAATGGGCTTGGGAGATGGGTGAGTGGTGGTCTCAGCCTTCGAGATTAGCAAATAGAGCGCGAATTCAGGGGTCCTGGATTGAATGTTGGGGAACCAAACGTTTGCAAACGGAAGGGTCCTAGTAACTTATGTCTGGCGGCCTTGAGATACCCGGCACTTCAGCCCCTCCCAGGAGAGAGGCCCAGATGGGGTGTGTCCACACCGGCCCGAAGTCGGACTCAGGGTTTAAGACTCGGACGTCAGCCCACCCAGTTGGGAACTTTCTGGAACTGAGAACTTGCCAGCTGGCTGCTCGGACACCATTCCGTCCACCTGTCCCTTTCTCCTCCTCCGGCCAGAAGCCCTCGCAAACATACACGTGGGAGGGGGCGGGCGGGGTTTGTAGCGGCTGCTGCCTGTCTCCAAAATCTGGAACTTTCTAGAACCCTAACGGGCCTCTCTGGGGCGGTGGGGATTTGCATATTTGCATTGGGGTAGCCACTAGCCACATGGGAAGAATGAACGGGCCCTTGAAATGTGGCCAGTGTGACTGAGGACCGTCACACGCCCTAGCCCTGGCCAAGTAGCTCTGTTGGTTGGAGCGTCATGCTGATCCCACCAGGGTTGCGGGTTTGATCCCCAGTCAGGGCCCATGCAGGAAACTGGTGGGTGCATGGATGGGTGGGACAACGGATCCACGTTCCTCTCCCTCTCCCTCTCTAGGATCAATGGGGGGGAAATAATCTCTATATATAAAAGCCTAATATGCAGTGTCCCCTCAGGAGTTTGACCAACCGGGAGTTTGATCGCTCTCTATGATGTGCACTGACCACCAGGGGGTGGTGCGGAATGAAGGAAGGCCCCGGCCAGCAGCCGGCAGCCGCTAGGGACCCTACCTGTGCACAGATTTCATGCACTGGGCCTCTAGTAATAAACAGTCACCTGCAGCTTCTGGCGACCATATTGAACAGTGCCGATTTAGCATGTTCCAGGAAAGCAATTCTTTTTCAAACGTTAAACCTCATCCCAGCAAATGCCCGCCGACCCAGGAAAGGGTGGGGCGGCCTGTTGCAGGGTAAGTGGGGTCCACACACCTGGCCCACCTTGTTCTCGATGGCCCTGCCCCCACCAACACTGGGTTCTAGATCCGATGGTTCTAGGTGGGCCGAGGCTTTCGTGTGCCTGCCCTGAGTTCACCGCCCTCCTCTGGCCCTTGCCCCTCCCACACAAGCGTCTCCCGACACTGGCAGTGACGTTTATTTCTCTGGGGCGGGGTTATATACAGCAGTGACCCGGATGGGGACCCGGGAGCTCCTTGCCCCACCAGGGGCCCGGGTGGGGGCAGGAGGCATTGGCAGAGGCACGCGGTGGCAGTGGCCGCAGGCCGGGGGTCGTGGGTGGGGGTGTAGTGTGGCCTGGGAGACCCCGCTGGGGAAGGGCAGCTGGTCCCTGGAGCGCGTGCTGGCTCCTCTACAGGACGACGCAGGGGCAGCTCCTGGTCTTCTTCCTGGGGGAGCT